GTGATCTTGATCCAGACTCATTAAATATCATCAGTAGTGATCTTGATCCAGACTCATTGGATATTATCAGTAGTGATCTTAATCCAGACTCATTGGATATCATCAGTGGTGATCTTGATCCAGATGCAGTGCTCATATAATTATCGATGAAATATCTATTTTTCTTTACTAAAAAGGGATTTCTTCACATGTGAAGATATAACATGGTATCTTCACATGTGAAAATAACACCATTGGTAAGAATTCTTAGAAATCGCATCAAATAGAAAAATCCACCAAAATTGTATTTTATAGATAATTATACATTAAACAGCAGAGTACTTACAGGCCGCTTGGAGATTTTATCTTCTCGTGTTGAGAAATATAATCGTTCGCTGCGCTCTTGTCACTAGTAAGATATAACCTCACCACTCGAAGATAAAATCCGTATCTCCCGCGGCCTTGGAGTATACTCTATTATACGACACACTTAATATCCCGTGAATTTCGAGTTTTTCGAGTGAAATTACAGAGCGATAATACGCGGTCTGTGAACCGGTTCGAACGGGTATTTATGCTAATGTCAGCGCGAGGAAATTTTCTATTTCTGTTTGGTTCACGTCCTGAGTGGTTTGACTTCATGAGTTTTAAGTTTGCTTGCTTACAAAAAAAATGGTTGTTTTTCATGCACCCTTTCTCAGTTTTTTCCGTGTCGTACGATGGGGCGAGAAAAAATACAGCTTCAAGAGTAAAATCATCCGCCTGTAATACACAACTAGCAATGTAATAACCTCTATTTATTTAATATTTCTTTGTATATACCTATGTCAAATAAAGTTGTCATCGCCAAAGGCGATAGGCGATAGGTGATAAGCGAAAAGCGATAGCAGGTCATTCCAAGATCCAAGAATAGCTGAAATGACTTGCGTGTTTCTGCTTCTTATTCTCGTCAAGAACATGGACCTTAGTGTTGAGACTGATTCAATGTTCTTTGTATTCAACGAAACCATTTCCATGTGGAATCGCCAATCGCCTATCGCCTTTCGCGATGACAACCTTTTTTGAAATAGGTGTATTTATGGCTACTAAGAGGCGCGAGAAAATGAATTGGGCTTTAGTATGATGGCGTCATTTGACTCCCTACCAGAATCCCTTGCACACTTTCTTTGTTCAGTTCATTAACACCAATTCTTCCTATTTTCATGAGGGAATAAAAATTTGAATAAGAAAGAAAATTCGCGCATCTTGGTAGTGGGAGTCAAACATCTACATCATGCAAACGTCATGTTTGTATTAATTAACAATTATTCAGGTACGCGCCGCATGCACGCTGCGATATTCATGAGACTCTCTAATGAAAATAAGTTTCAATTGATATCACTAGAATAAATACATGAATAGTTGAGTAAAATTTGGTGTCAATGAAATTGTATAAAAATTAAAATCGAAAGCTGGAACAGGGAGATGTAACAAGGCTTAAATTTAGTCGACTTTAGCTTAAAGCAATGATTCTCAATAATCTATACACGGAGTTACTACTTGGTGGCTACGTTCATGTCCAGTCTTTGCCGTTTTTTTATATACTTATTTCAATAAAGTTATATTAGTGACCTGAAAAGCTAAAAAGGCGAGAGCGACAAGGATTATGGGTGGATACATTTTACATGTTTCAACCGCTTGATAACTGTTAATGAGCTTGCACATCTTTTAGCAGTTACAGTCTCACTTCTTCTGAGCATCTTCAAGCTGCAGTTTGTGTCAAAAGCTTT